AATTTGATTATTTATCACATTATTCAGTGAGATTATTTTCTGAAAATGACAATTATTTAAAGTGGACTGATTAAATTTAATTTTACGTATTAATTAAAATTATTTCAATTCCATTTTGGTATGAGATAGCAAAGCATTTTTCATTTATGCTTAGAAATTATTTCATTGAAAAACTCAAACTAGATTTTCTGAATCTGCCAATATAACTTAAATTTGTAATATTATAGAAATTTAATTAAAATTTACATCCGAGTACGAGATAGCTTTCAGTGTTATATAATTGTTTCCAGTATAGCTCTGGAAATGATAAATATTTGATTAGATTGTTATTAATTAAATTAAATACTGCTAATTTCTTCTCTTCTGCTATACTCAGATAATATCTTTGATACTTATAATCAATATCAAACAATATTAAGTTAGAGCCTTTACTCTAATTCTAACTCTAGTTTATGCTTTGAGCTTTCTGGTTGAATATTTATGAATTTGTTGCTTTCATGCTATTTATGTCTACTTGTATGATATTTCCTTGTGACATTATTAGAACTAGCTAGCTATTATCTTTTTAAATAAATTAAACAACAATATTTGATGGTTAGTAAATTCCAATTATTTAGCTCTACTTTTAATTAATATTGTATTTAAATACTTCACCTGAAGACAATGAAACCAAAAGAATATTCTGTTTTTGATTTTGATTGTCTAAATTTGTAAAGTTAAAAGTAGTAACTATCAAATAATTTTAATTAAATTGATATGTAAAAAACTATTTCTAATTAACAAAATCGTAATCTATAAATTGATTATTTTGAGTTAAGAAAACTGCAATATTTTCTCCTATTAAAAGGAACTGCTTAATTTTATAAGATAGAGTATAAGAAATATTATTGATATTTAGAATCAATCCGGTAGTTTACCCTATTATAACATTTACTTAAGAGGAAAATGCAACAATATTAATTACTTAATTGAACTAAACAAATTATTTCATGTCAGTTACTTAATCTTAGAATCGTTATATAAAAACCATTTTTTGTTGATCATAAAGGAATAGATTATAGCTGTTATCACATACAAGTATGGAATTCAACAAACTATTTGCTTAGCTCTAAATTAAAATATAAAACTACTTTTCTGTATGGTAAACTCTTTAATAAACTTTGGTCTGTATATTATAACTTTGTCTCCAAATATATTAACCATTATGGATGAAAATTTCATTCATATCAAAATCTAAGAAATAATCAACTGGAGGTGCTGTTTGCTACAATTACAACTCGCTGATTCCGATTATATTTTGATTAGAGACAGTTGAGCCTAATGTAGCAATTTAGCTATTACCATATGTGTCTACATAAAAAATCACATTACTTTCTTAGTCGTATTTTGCATCTAATGAGTTTCCTACTCCATTAGGTTTAAACGGCTATGTAATACTTCCTTAAGGTTGTAGAGTATTTAAGCTAAAAAATTTTATTTAGCCAGTAGTTATTTCATTTGTTTGATAAGCAATCAAGTTTATTTAAGGGAAATAAAAACCTTTTCTTAGCTAGCCAATACTGGGAATAATATTTTTAACGATCTACAAAGTTTATCTTGATATAATCATTGCAGCTAATTTAAATAAAAATTATTTTTAAATAAAAAAAATAAATTTGAAATTTTAAAGGGTAAACTCATAATTCTAATAATACCATAAATACTTCTAAAAAATTAAATTTTGATTTTGTAAAAATAGAATAAAAATGATTAACAGAAATAAAAAATTTTAATAAAATAAAATTTTTAAAGATCGATATTTATTTACCTGATGGAGTATATGCTAATAAGTAACTAGAACAGATATCAAATTAAAATATAGGTTAGCTCGAGCCATTAATACTTGATAAATAGCTTCCTTAAAAGTTGTAAATTTCAATTTAATTTTAATACGCAAAAATATATTGCAATTTTTAATCAATTTAAAGATTAAAGTTCTTTAAAGTCAATGTTTATATTAAAATATTTGCTTAGACTTTATATTATTATAGTTTATCATATATTGAAATAGAATTAGTATTTATTTTACATACCACAAATTATACCATAAAAAAGCAGATTTCATAATTAAAATGACCAGCAGGTGATAAATTATTCATGTTGCTTAAATCTAAATTAAATTCAACTAGAATTTTTCCATATGCAAGTATCTTAGAATATGTTTCGTCTATCCAACAGCCTTAAATTTAATTCAAGGAATTAGAAATTTAACTCTATTTGATTGTGTAATTCAGATTATTTATTTGATCTTTTACAATTATTTATTACCTGTTAAAAGACAAAAATATGCCAAGATTATCTGAAATATAAAGATCAACTATGTTTTCAAAGCTATCTGGGTTGGTAGAAATTTTAAGATCAAAGTTAATTTATTCAATCAATTCGTTAGAAAAAAGATTAAAAATTTATATAGAAGAAATTTTGATGACGTAGTAACTTCCTAATTTAAAACTTCTTTTGATAAACTGGATAGTGTCTTAGCTGTACATTTTTTGTATAGAATAAACTTTTTAAATCGGATAATCTTAATTTAGTGGACTAACACCCAAGTATCCGCTTGCTGCACCTACGTAACTAATCGTGTTTTAAATATTTGTTATTTCTTAGGTAATAGTCTCGCCTATAATATAGTTTTGATTACCTCTAAGTTAAATTCCACTTTATTTATACCATTTTATTTACCCTACTAGAGTATAACTAAAAGCTAATATACCATTGAATAAGTATATTTCTTAGTTATTATCATCTGTAATTTTTCTCACAATAGAAAGCTTTATTGATACTATAGTGTAAGTTATTGGTCTTTAAATGACTCCATTCTAAGTTATTTCTAAGTACCCAAATTAGCATGGATATGCTAGATTTGACTGGCTTGAATAAAATAATGTAAAAAATATATCAGGTTCATACATTTTAACATCTACTAGAATTCCGTACTATTAAACATTCTACAATATAATCTAAAAATTATTATTTATAATACTCATTTAATTTCTTTAATCCATCACCATCAAAATCTCTATTTTTAAATTAAATAAAATAATTTTTTTAAAATAATAAAAAGTGTATTTAAAAATTAAAAATGAACTTTTAAATGGTTAAGAATGAATTAAAAGCTTTTAAATTAATTTTTAAAACATTTTAGATTTACAATTGAAAATATGAAAGTAATTTTTTCAGCTGTTTAAATGAGCAAATAAATAATGATTAAATGGTATTAATTAATTAAATTAATTACGCTGATTGGGATAATTAAAGAGGAACATCTTAGAGTAATTGAATTGCAACTAATAGGTATTTGGTGTCTGATTAATTGATAGTGAAGCATTGTTGAATATATACGATCTAATAATATTTTAGTTATCAACTGTGAATATAGTGTCTTAGTTAGAAACTTTTGCAATTAGTATATTGCTGTTAAAACTAGTAGCATAAATTTATTGATAATTAAGATTGTAAATTGCTATGGTTTAGTTAAAAAACAAATAGATAAAGTTTTTTGATAAATTGATTTAAGTGTATTGCTGTAGATTTACAAATATCTCAATCGATTAAAAAGTATTATAAATATTTTAAATTATAATAGAATTCTTCAATTAGGCAACCAAGATTTGAGATTAAAATATCTACACATCTATGCATGCTAATCCACCAGATTAAAACTAATATAAGTATTTGGGATTCATTTAATCTACTGTTAACCAAACCACAATCATTCCTTATTAATCGCATGTTACTAAAATATTTCCATCATCTGATAATGCAACTTTATGAATGGTATTTCGGTTTTAGTAGGAAACTGCTTTGAAATCTGTTGAAATATAGGTCTTGTTCAATTGTAGATCTACTATTTAAATTACATCAGATAGAATGCACATAAAGGATTGGTTTTGATTATTTGACAAATTTATGAATTTGATTGGGGAATTAATGTAAACATTAATCTGATTTTAAAACAATAAAATCTTTGTGTTTGAATAATCAAATAAATATATTTCTATCTTCTAATTTGTTAATATATATAGAAACATTTAATCTTTAATTAGAATTTAACAAAAATCTAAAATTTATAATGAGAATTCTTTCTGTTAAAGAATTTAGAGTGTGTATAAATCAACAATTTGTAATGCTTTATTATCTGCCAAAATAAATAATAATTAGTTTGAGGTGCTTGTTGGGTTTTTAGATGAATATTTTTAAATCTTATTGATTTACTAGAATGAAGTATTTATTGAACCACAAGATTTACTATTTTATCTGACCATAAATACTTTGCTTTGATTTTGTAAAGTTAAAAGAATTGTGTATTAATTATTCAAAAGAAAGCTTTCTATTTGCAAAATATTAAATGAACCAAGCTCGCATGTATATGATTCATTAATTTACTAAAGAAAGACTTGAGATAGAGCATTTTATTTTAGAATACAAATTATGATTTAATTCTAAGGATTGAATAATACAATAAAGTTATTGATTGTGACAAATTTACTCAAGAAATTAATTTCTAATTAACTTTGATTATTATTTGCTGCATTAATTTCAGTAAAGAAAACTTTATTTTATTACTATTAAAAAGAAGTAATAAAACTTCTACTTTGATTATTGCTAACAAGTAAAACATCACTTAAAGCATTAACAGTTCCTTGTTAAATCACAGAGCATATTACATTTTTTTGGTTAATTTAATCCCAAAAATACACTTTATTTTCATTTGTCACAAGATAAATTTGCTAATTTATGCATTTAATCAGCATCAAGCTTAGGTTAAATGAGTATTAACGAATAAAAGAACCGTCATAAGCATTAATTTTATTTACAAAATAGCTATAGATAACTTAAATATATCCATCTTAATCAAAAGAAGCATCAATTATCTTCTATCCATTTGAGATCGAAGAGAGCTAAAGATATTAAGTTGAACAACTATTTGCAGAAATACATTTATTGCTAGTAGAATCTAACACAAAGCTTTGAGGGCATACTGACATGCATGCCATAGTTTTATTTGCCTCAAAACTGCTTTAATTTACTTCGCATTTCTCCTACACACAAATATTTGTTTGCTCAAAGTAAGAGAACCCAGTTTAACACTCCTAACATCTTTCAACGCCTTTAAGGTCTAAGTAGCAGCTATTACATCCACTTGGACATGCTAAACACATAAATAAAAGTTGGACTAACAGGTATATTTATACACCAATTTTGTTCATTTTTATATATATTTTATTTTAAATTACTTTATATTTATTTAATTCAATTTTTGTTCTTTTTTATCTAATTTGAATTGATATTTTTTATAATAAACAAATAAATGAATCAATCAGTCAATAAAAAAATTAAAAGAAGTTTAAAATTTGTTAAAATAATTTATTTTTAATTTAGATTATTAAATATGATTTATTTACTTGAAATTGATTATTTATTAAATATTTTAATTTTATTATCAATATTAATATAAATTTTTGTGATTGAAATTTCAAAATGTGTTATTTTACAGAGAAAGTTAGTTTTTGCTTAAAATTAATTTGATGATTTCTTAATATTTAGCTTTGTATGTAATTAATATTTTTTTGAGCTTACTAGCATTCAATTTTATTATAGAAACCTATGTCAAGAGTATTTTTTTATTTTAAATATCCAAAAATGAAAATATAAATAAAATATATTTATTTATAACAAAAATGTTTAAACAGAAAATATTAGAAAATGCTTATTTTTTATAAAAGTTAAGTTATTTAATTACTTAAATTTCTAATTAAGTGAAGGGCTTTATTTAATAAATTGGTGTTTATGAAAAACAGTATAAAATTTATATAAAATAGGGAATAAAATATTTATGTGCTTATGAAAAAATGTCAAATATTTATTTGGTTGAATTTAATTAAATATATAAATCATTTAAAATATCAAAATAAAAGGAAAGCCTTTTAATTTAAATTTACTTTATCAGAAAAAAAATCATAAAGAAACCTTTTTTTTTAATTATTAGTTTTAATTTTGAATTTATTTTTTGTTATTAGAAAAACAAATATTACTTTGTTATTAATTAATTTAATTCATAGATATTTAAATAATTTATAATTGGTATTTAAAAAATAAAAAAATCCTCATAAAAATAGACAGACAGATAGACATATAAACATATAGCGGGTTGTGACAAAAAAATGAGACTATTTTAAATCAATATCAATATATATTAGAGGGTATATGTTTGAATTTTTAATTTTATAAATTAATACTCTATCGATCATTAAAATTTGATAGAGACAAATAAAATAAGGGAGTTGGGTTATAATCCCCCTCCCCTATTCATTATATTTTATCTTATACATTTTTAGTGTGATACTTTGTTTAATTTTCATTGCTAAGATCTTTTTGATAATTCTAAAGCATACTGAAAATAGATTGTCTTTTATTTCTAACTGTGCTTTTATCATTTACATGTAAAATATTACTTAAAATGTAACTCTATTTTTTTGCATTGGCTGTACTTCTTTTTCTTTACACTATTTATGTTTGATCAGCTAATTTTTAAAATAAAATATAAATAAATAAAATATTTAAAGGTTATTGATTTGTTAATTACCTTATAAACACATTTAATCTCCTTCTTTAAGATGATTTTGAAATTTATTTATTTCGAAATAAATTTTGTTTAATTTTATATTTTTAATGCTTGCACTAGCTTTTTTCCATAATTTTAGTGTTTTAAGTTTGTTATACTTTTTTTAAAAAAGTTTATTTTTTAAATATTTTGGGAGGCAGTACTACAAACAATTTGTCAGATGCTTAAATAAAGAATTTTTTTGCTGGTTTAAATTGGTTTTAAATATTATAAAAATTAGTGAAATAACATAGCCAAAATAGAAAATAATGATTATTGTTTCTATAAAAGGCAATTAGTATATCTAATAGATTTGATAAATAAATATGTTAAAAATTAAAGTAAAGCAGGAAATTGTTTCGTAGTAGTTTAGTTGTTTGTTATAGAATGGCTTAAAAATAATTAGTAACTAAGTATAAATGATTATAATAATAAGTGGACAAATGGATGAAACTTCTTACTGTTTTTAAAGCAATCCTGATGTTAGGATTATAGATATTTTAAAATAAATCCTAACAAACTCCCAAAAGTAATAATTTTATTTAAATTCTAGGAAGAAGTATCCATATTTTGATTTAATAATAAAATAATTTAAACTGTTTCTATTTTTGTATACTTTAGAGTCTTTTAAGAATAGAATCAATAGGATTAAAGGAAATAGTATCCAAAAGGCCATGATAGGTATTATATAAATTTAATTAAATAGCTAAAAATCTTAGTCATCACAAAAAAGCTCTAAGCTTGGGCTAAGATAACTTTTGCTGCCTATTTATCTGCATTAAAAGGTAGAAATGAAGTAATTAAGCACATCAAATTAAAAGAAAAAGAATGTGATATGAGTAATTATGTAATTGAAACCAATTTTAATTTAGATTTTCTTAATTCTTTTGATGATATTCAAAACTATTAACTAAGTTAAATAAAATAGAAACGGAGTTGTTAAATACAACATGCTAGTCAATTTTATGTAAA